CTTACCCTGTTTACCCTGTCATATGAATGATCCAACATTGATGTAACAGATCTAGACTCGATGCATAGTTGACGTAATGTCAAGTGTATTGACAGGGGAATCCCCCCATCCCAATGCAACCCTAGGGTGAGACAATTCAAGGATATCTCACACCAGGTAAATTGTGGATATGCACCTGTCCAGGATAAGAGAAAATTAACTCTTTGCTTCTAAATTATTTCCCTCAATTCAGATGATTCAGTCATTTGCATAAACAAATGTAGGTATATTAAGAAATTTTCTTCACGTCTATTACACCATCACTATCACTGCTGGTTCTCTACCATAGGCTGTGGGAGTGATATTCATGTCAGACAATTATTTGTGTTACATCGATCAGAGATCGTGTTTATAAAATATAATCAACAGCAAAGATGTACGTTAATAAATGAGAGAACTGGCAAAGGCCTGCATGAAGCTACATTATTTATTGCATGAACGTTACAATATACTGTGAAAGTTTCAACTGAAAACCCATTGGAATAAAAGCTCATTAAACATGTATAAATTCATGGAAGGTGTCACTGTTACACATTCGAAATGAATATATACATGTATATTTTGTCAGTTAGATAAGTCTTGATGTTGCTAAACAGGTTTTGTGTAGGACATTTACGCACTATTATCCAACCATAGGCTTTAGGCTAGGTTTTGAGTTTTGTATTTTATTGATCAAATACTGATGTATGTACGTGAACCTTTATCAAAGACAGTTATTGTTTCTCCATCTTTATACAGATTCATCTCCCATTTTATCCACAGGTAATTTCCTAGGGTAAGAAAACTGGCTCATATTTTAAAGATATTTTCATGAAATTTGACCTCTGCATGAGGCACCAACATAACATTTGCCATTAGTCTCTTGGGCAGTTTAAGCCATTAGTCATGAACGCTTCTGCCTTCATCACTGATGGCAGGAGTTCAGTCACTGAAGTCATCATTTTTGCATGGAATTTCCAGACATAAGGGTTTTCCCCCTGCCCCCTCGGCCCACACAACTCCCAACAACTGATGTGGAGTATAAAATGGTCTGGACTGATTTCTACAGTGATCATGTCTGTGCTGGAAAAAAAAATCATTGGAAGCAAGGTCACACTGCAAAACATATAACACAAACATATCCAACACACTTGCTGGCTCACACATGTGGAGGTATTAGCTAGGTGGCATAGGAATAGTAGTAGACACCTCATAATTAAGGAAGCACCTTCAAACTCCTTTGTATTGATAGTGTATTCATTAACTCTGTACTATAGTGCCATAGAGTGGATTATTCTAGCTAGATATGGGGCTATATATCAAATGCTGTATAACAATAGACATAGGTCACTGACCTGCAATAGTGCATTATAACCTCAAGTCACAGTTCATACATGTATATATATATGCTTAATTTTCAGTAAATGTTATTCTAGTCCATAATCTTCAAAATCAATAAAAAAAAAAGTTGTTTTGATAAAACTTATCAGATCCAGGTCAGGAATGTTCAATCCAGGTCAGGAATGTTCAGTTTATCACAATTGAAAGCATATTAATTATATAGGGAACATATAACAAAAACAGGTCCCTGAGTTGTTCACTAGCCCTTCACTATACAGGTTTGAGGCCTAACATGGTGCAGTCGCAAGGTACTAGCTAGCTGCAGGTTGGTGGTTTTTCTCTAGGTGCTCCGATTTTCCTTCACCACCAAAACCTGGTATAATCCTAATTAAATGACCATAGCTGTTGATAAAACCTAAAACACAAAACAAACATACACTGTTGTTGTTACTATACATTGTATAAGAGTTTCATCGTCCATGAAATAAACACAAAGCCGTTTTATATTCATAGGTGGTGTTTTCACCAGAACTGACTTATACTCCATTGCTGAAACAAAAAGCTGAATACATGTCACAAAAACAAACCCCAATTCCTTGCTTATAAATCTACAGTGAAAGCTAACAGTGCTTGATATGATGACTTCATGTCTTAAACCCTGGCTTAACCAGCATTCTGTCATGGCTGACCAAACGACATCCAACCCTTACAGTAGAAGCATTCACTGTTTTGTTATAGTAATGTAAAAGGAAATGGAAAAAATACACGTCCAGACTGGGATTCACACCCAGTACTTAAAACAAGGGTTGGTCACATGTTCAGGCACCACTCTAACAGCAGATGGAAAAATGCACGGCCAGACCGAGGTTCAAAACAGGGACCCTCTGAACTTTAGACAGACGCTCTACCCGAATTGAGCTACCTGGTCGCCGACCATCAACACAGTCTGGTTTCACTACAGTAATCAAACTGTTGTTTCATTTACTCCAGAATAACGCCAGTCTTAATGAAATGCTCTCAATAAATCTGTTTGCATCCCAATTATTGTTAGTCTTGGTGAAACTTTGAAGTCTGTTTTCACTCTATACATATTGACCTTGTCTTTTTACTGGAATAATTCTATTTTTGTGCACCCCTATATAACTTTAGTAGACTCAATCTTACTTTGTTCTGGACGAGTCCATTATGGTCTACAGTGGTGAAAGGATTTAACTTACCATGCTGATTGATTGTAACTTTCAGTAGAAGGAAGGATGGTGAGAGAAAACAATCTCCTTTGTACACACTGTAATTGTGTTATTGTGAATTTCTAAATCCAGGAAATAAACCAAATTAAATCCTTTACAAAAAAGTTATCGCACACTGTAGAGAAAAATGGGAAATAAACTGTTGACCTTTAAGTACTACAATGTAGAATGCCTGGAATTTAGGGACTGGTTACGCTGGAAAACCAGGAACCTTGTACTCCAAGTCTATTGACAAGGTGTTTTCCAGTATACACTGGCTTGTGTATCAGAGCCTCGTGCTACAGCACAGATTTTATGTGTATAACCAGCATCTTTGCTGTAGACAATTTGCCATTTTGAGAAGATCCAGGTGGTATTTCAATAGTATTCAATAACAGCGTAATTAAACTTAGCCTGCAGTAATATAAGTGGGGAACAGCAGGCTGTCCGTTTGGGATGCTGGATGTGTAAATTAAGTCTGTCTGTTGCTGACTGGCTCATCATCCGTTCTGTAAATTGGGTCCTGCTACTGAACTCTGGTAGGATTAGAAGCTGCATGTTTACAGTTTGTGTCTGACAGCTCTAAGCTGTTCAAAATCCCCCCAAGAAATGTTAGCTTCGGTGTAATACAGAGAGGTATCTTATCTTCGTACAGACCTAAAAAGTGGCACACACATTGCAGTTTTCTTTGGAATTATTTATATATATTATATTGCTTTCACATGAACCAAATGAATATCTCTTTAGAGGCAAATGTAACAGCATTTCACTGTTTTGTCAGTACTTTATGACTATCCGTCACTACAACACCATCTTGTAATGTATATCCCAGCGCACACTATCATAAGAGGCGACCAATGTGGATACCATGTAGAATTGAGTTTTCCTGTGTCTTTCTGCTAAGGCGACAATGGAGAGGTTAACATCAATCTCTGTCTCTTTGGTTCTTCTACTCATTCTTTCTATTTAGCAATGTCTCCCCCAGTCACCTTTCTTCATTTGATCCAGCTGCCTGTTGCCTGTTCAACTGAGATAAAAAAAAAAACTAAAAAAAACACCACCACTGAGTACATGTACTTAACTATATAACAGGGCTAGAAATTATTTTTTTGAGTACCACTAGTCAACTTGGGTGGTAGTTTCGAATTTCTATTTGTCCACTTGTGAATCCCACTAACCAAATATTATTCAATAAGGTAAGCAATATTTTAGCACTACTAGTCCATTTGGAGATTTCACTCAGGCTACCCTTGTTGTCTATAGCTCTGCTAATATGGCATAAATTGGCTTAAATTTGAACAAATTGTAATATCCATATTTATTTGTCAATAAGCCTATGCCTGGTAATAAGCCCTCCCATAATTGATGTACAGAAGAAATTCTAACATTTATGCGATTTCATTGTCCTGTGATGAGCTATATGGCTGCCACAAAAGCTTTGAGTCAGAGATATGTGTTGGCCCCCTGGATTCATTGTAGGATATAATGTAGCAAGTTGGACAGTGTACACATATGTAGTTGTATTTACCATAAATAACTAAAAACACTCCTATATATTACTATGAAATCGCTCATTTTCGTGTTTTTTTTAATTTTATTGATATCAGGTACAGGAAGTAATTACAAGTTTGACATAAAGCAATTCTCCATTTGAATGGGTCGTACTTGTGATTGGCAAATAAATGTACCCACAAAATGGTGTTTTGTCGAATTCATATTCCTACGGAATGGTGTGTTGTTGGGAAAACCATGAAAATGTCTGATTTCACAGTAAACACAGTTTATGAATATCATAATAACTATTTATGGGCCTTAAAGTAATTTATGAAAAAGTATGGAACTTAATATGAACACTGGATCCATTAAGTAAACACATGCTCGTTGATTGATTATATGCATGCCTATTAAATTGAAACATAATATAAGCAGAGATTAATGAGGAAACTTTTACAGCATTCCACCTACCTGTATTCATCAAGCCAAACATGAAAAAGTTATAATATGAAATAGGGGACAGAGAAAAATAGAAACTGTTGAAATATTATTTTTTTGCTGATGTCAAAATATTCCTTCAGCATGCTGGAAGCGGGAGGCTTACTTCATATTGAAAAATCCATCCAAAAAGTTGCATACCAAAGTGAACTAATGATGAAATGTGGATAAATGTTAGAACACAGTTGTGTAATCTACGATCGTTACGTGTAATTACTGTTTATTTATATCAAAGTTACTGTTTTTGTATTCTTGTTAGGCTGCAATGTTTACAGATCCTTCAAGAGTGTGAGGGATTTAATTGGCAAGATAGTCCCCCTGGGTCCATCTACCGTCTGTGTTTGACAAAGCTTACCAATTAAGTGTAATTTGGTGTAACTTGTCTGTCACTTGTCATTATGGTGTATCTTTCGCTTATTACAGAGACATTCCGAGCGGCAGCTGAAGCCGGCCCGGAGGACATTCTGAAGCTGTACAACAAAAAAGGAAATCTCCTCAACATTTCTCCCAAACTCACCGAAAATACTCCCGACACTCGCTACACGCTGGAGGTGGTCGCCACGCATTGTAATGGTTAGTACGTATATACAGAAATCATGTATGGTTGCTTTTCATACAAATACTTGACACAGTATTGATAAACATTATACAGGCATCACAAACAATGGTAGACTGGATAACTCATTTCCTGACTAAAATTCAAGGGTATTGATTTTCAGGATAGATGCATTGGAAGGATTGTATCAAACAATGCAATGAGGTTAGCATAAAAAAGTATGTTAGGCAGTGAAGGTCGCATAGTGTACGTACACACATATATATATATATGTATATAGTCATTTAAAATTAAGGATCCCTGTACCACAAATAGACCTGTATATAGACAGTGATTTTTTCACTTTTTTTTTTTATAGGGCTGGTGCCTTTTTTTAATTGGGAATTTTACTGCGCGGACACAATGAATTGGGAATTTTGCTGCGCGTACACAATGAATTGGGAATTTTACGACATGTTACGGATGTATGATATTAGGGAAATTTTGTTCGATCGCACTCAAACAACCTCATGTGTAAACAAAACTTGAAGCTAGAATTTAATGCCCCAAGATAAACTTCTATTTGTCAAAAAGTTTAACAACGTCGTACAACAGTTTATAAGAAGGCATACTTTAATATTTTTACAAGCGATTGAGAAAATATGTCTGAGACATTGAGAATGAAGAATCCTTGTACCACAGATATGCCTTTATATATATACATTTAGAATTAAGGATCCTTGTACCACAGATATACCTGAATATATAGACATTTAGAATTAAGGATCCTTGTACCACAGATAGACATTTAGAATTAAGGATCCTTGTACCACAGATATACCTGTATATATATAGACATTTAGAATTAAGAATCCTTGTACCACAGATATACTTGTATATATATAGACATTTAGAATTAAGGATCCTTGTACCACAGATATACCTGTATATATAGACATTTAGAATTAAGGATCCTTGTACCACAGATATACCTGTATATATAGACATTTAGAATTAAGGATCCTTGTACCACAGATATACCTGTATATATAGACATTTAGAATTAAGGATCCTTGTACCACAGATAAACCTGTATATATATAGACATTTAGAATTAAGGATCCCTGTACCACAGATATAGCTGTATATATAGACATTTAGGATTAAGAATCCTTGTACCACAGATATACCTGTATATATAGACATTTAGAATTAAGAATCCTTGTACCACTGCCAAATACTTTAACTACTGTATACCGAGAAATTTTCACTGCAGTTAAATTTTGTCTTTTTCGCCTGCAGTAATGAGGGCAAATTTATCATTGCAGGGAACATTAGTTAACACCATTATGTGCATAGTAGTTAAATGTGAAGGGCGAAATTAACACCGGGTGAATATGGATCATTCTGGTGAAAGGTGAAATTAACACTGGGTGAATATGGATTATTCTGGTGAAGGGCGAAATTAACACTGGGTGAATATGGATCATTCTAGGGAAGGGCGAAATTAACACTGGGTGAATATGGATCATTCTGGTGAAAGGTGAAATTAACACTGGGTGAATATGGATCATTCTGGTGAAGGGTGAAACTAACACTGGGTGAATATGGATCATTCTGGTGAAAGGTGAAATTAACACTGGGTGAATATGGATCATTCTGGTTAAGGGCTAAATTAACACTGGGTGAATATGGATCATTCTGGGGAAGGGTGAAACTAACACTGGGTGAATATGGATCATTCTGGTGAAGGGCGAAACTAACACTGGGTGAATATGGATCATTCTGGTTAAGGGCGAACTTAACACTGGGTGAATATGGATCATTCTGGTTAAGGGCTAAATTAACACTGGGTGAATATGGATCATTCTGGTAAAGTGTGAAATTAACACTGGGTGAATATGGATCATTCTGGTTAAGGGCGAAATTAACACTGGGTGAGTATGGATCATTCTGGTGAAGGGCGAAATTAACACTGGGTGAATATGGATCATTCTGGTTAAGGGCGAAATTAACACTGGGTGAATATGGATCATTCTGGTGAAGGGCGAAATTAACACTGGGTGAATATGGATCATTCTGGTAAAGTGGGAAATTAACACTGGGTGAATATGGATCATTCTGGTTAAGGGCGAAATTAACACTGGGTGAATATGGATCAATCTGGTTAAGGGCGAAATTAACACTGGGTGAATATGGATCATTCTAGGGAAGGGCGAAATTAACACTGGGTGAATATGGATTATTCTGGTGAAGGGCGAAACTAACACTGGGTGAATATGGATCATTCTGGTTAAGGGAAAATTTAACACTGGGTGAATATGGATCATTCAGGTAAAGTGGGAAATTAACACTGGGTGAATATGGATCTTTCTGGTTAAGGGCAAATTTAACACTGGGTGAATATGGATCATTCTGGTTAAGGGCAAAATTAACACTGGGTGAATATGGATCATTCAGGTAAAGTGGGAAATTAACACTGGGTGAATATGGATCATTCTGGTTAAGGGCAAATTTAACACTGGGTGAATATGGATCATTCTGGTTAAGGGCGAAATTAACACTGGGTGAATATGCATCATTCTGATGAAGGGCGAAAATTTAACTGGGCAAAACTTTCCCTATATATACAAATTCTAAAATTCTTACCTGCATGGCAATATCTTCAATAAATCATTTCTGAAAACTACTGGTACCTTTGTGGAGTTTTTATGAAAAAAGGAAAGATGAAATAAGCCAAAAAATGTTAAAACTGACAGTAACTCTTACCAACTAAAATACCTGGTCATTGGTTGTTCCTCGTCCAGACAAGTATTACAGTTCTCTTCCCTTTTCTCTGCAGTGGGACACGCTTTCTGAATTCTATACAATATAACAAGATAGGATCGTTAGTACCTAACTAAAATGACCTTTATAGGCTGTTAATAGGACGTTTATTTAAACAAATAAAACCAAACCTAAATAAAACTTCAGGAATGTCTATTTTAACCTCTTTTGTATCAAGGTACTAAATATTTCTGATCGTTTTGAAAATTAGTTACTAATTTTGCAATGAAACCATAATTTACGAAACCATAATTTACAAGATGCCATTTTCTACTTTAGTTTTTTTTCCAGAAGCTCAAAAGGGTTCCCACTTAGGTGTGGACATCAGCATGATAGAATCAAGGTAAGTAAAGAACACTCAAAAAGATAAATCTGTGTGCAAGAGGCTTTACCCTTTCACCCCTGCAGACCATTATGGACTCTTCCCCATCGATGTACAGTACAGTCTGCTAAAGTTACAAAGGGGTGAAAGGGCTATTTTAAAGTTGCTACCTAGCTAGTGTAACCATACCTGTACAGAAAGACCTGTGGAACACTGTAGGCACCAGTATTAACAGGTCCTCGGAATAGAACAAGTTCAATTTACATAAAAAAATCATATATGTTCAAGTTGAATGCACTGCAATTACATTACTGTGACCTTCACCTTTAGGTCAAAGGTCAAATAGTGCCCTGTGAAACCTTGTGTGGACAGTACATTTCAAACTGCTGAAGATATCTTAACTCATTCAACCCTGAAGAGCCATAGCGAACTAATTCCAACCTTTGAATTAGAAGAGTTCAAATGTGTTTAGTTAATAAAAATTGAGTTACACTTGCATCACTTGCAGAAGTTGTGCATGCATTATAATGATCATCATGAGGCCACTTTGTCCTTGACCTCTAGGTCAAAGGTCAAATATTGCAATGAAATGTTGCATAGGCTGTAAATTTCAAACTGCTGAAGATGTCTTGATATGACTTGAGTTATGCTTGCATAACTCACAAAAATTGGGCAGCACTGTGTAAAAAAGTCACTTCGACCTTCAGCTCTAGGGCAAAGGTCAAATAAATGCATTTTTTTCTAAGAAATCTTGTATTGACTATAAATTTTAACCTGCTGAATTTGAAGATATTATGATGAAACTTGATCACCTGCATCATCACAGAAGGTGTGCATGCACTCTATATATAAAGTTCACAGTGATCTTTACCTCAAGGTCACAAATAAACCGTGGAAAATTGTCAGTAAAATTTGTTATCTGAAGGCAGAAAATATGCCAGAAGTGGAGACATATGTTTTTGTTTTCAAAAGATAAATCACTTGTTCAGGGTATGATTAAGACTGGTTCCAATGTATATTTATGTTTATATTCAAACATAAAAGAACTTCTTTAGGGAGTTCATGTAGAGCAAAATTATCTTATCTATTTATCATCAATCATTCTCAAATTGTTCAATGACTTTTCCTGCATATACCAATTATGCTACCTCTCATTTCTGAAGACACATTTTAACTCTTCCTGTTCAAAGATTGGAATAGTTAATTATGAAATTTCAGGGGTGAATGAGTTAAACATACTTATACCTAATGGTCAACCCTCTCTTAATGTGCATACCAATATCTCAATGTTTTGATGAGGTGGCAAGGGATTGACAAAGTAAACCTGGTAATATTGAAAATAGGCAGGTCCACCTGGTGCAAATTTATGGCTCCGATTACGGTAGATCAATAAAAAAGAAATTATAATACCAGGTATTAGAGTTTAAGTTCTTGAAGGTCATTGAATAAAATTGGCAGCAAACTAGACTTTTTTTTCTTCAAATATACATTGAGGTATATGCACACAAATTGGTATTCAAGGAGACAATCTGTTCCGAAATTATGTGTAGAAGCCAGACCATACCTTCCTATCAATATGTGAAAATTTGTCACCCAATATATAGCATTCAATATCCTCTTACTTGGGTTTAATATCCTGGAGCTTGGTTGACATATTCACATTAGCGGTACAGTACACATGCAGGAGTGCAAAATTCTTGAGGAATTTATTCAGTGTTATAAAATGAATCATAACCCAAATGGGAATCGTATGATTTTGAACTTTTATCGTTAAAAGGATAAAATGAATGTCAAGACCGTGTGAAAGCGATAAATTGTGCATAATGTATAGTTTTCTAGTCATGTTTCTTAACATATATATATAAAGATTTAATGTGATTACTAAATAATATTTAACATATATATACATGTATATGCTAATGTTACATAAATCACTGTGTAGGTCATTAGGAACATTCCTTATTGTTGTTTAGAAATTAGAATTTATCATGCAATTAACGTACCATTACTATTGTATGTTTATTTGATTGATGTGTTTGCGCGGCACCATACCTGTATCTTATTCTGTTTTACCTGATCTTTGTGTTGTCAATGTTGAACAAGGAAAACTTGATTTAAGGATTCCTGTACAACTGCCAAAAATGTGTAACAAGGAATTAGGAAATTTTTACTGGCATGACAATAGCTTTGAACAAATCATTTATGAAAAGAAGTTAGTTTAAACATATTCTATTGTAAAAAGATTCAAATGAATTAAACAACAAGTTATTTCAACTTAACATAGTCATCTCCTCAATACATCTGGTAAAAATATTGTGCATATATATATATATATACATGTTTTTGGGGAACTGAAGAAGGATAAGGTGGAGAAGGAAGAAGGAAGGGTGATTAGGGTATGGGGGGTTTACCTAGAAAAGAAATTGTGTAAACTGTGAAATGGATCCACATTTGAATAAATTATAAATTATACAAATTTAATGATATGCAGCCTAATGAATAGAATCAGTAGCAAAATGGTATTTAAAGCCAACTTTCTTACAACATGTTAAAATCACGTAACACAATACAAATTCAAATGTAAACATTAAACAGAGGATTCAGCTTTTGGTTTATTCAATATTCTTCTAAAATTATGGACAAGTTGTGAATTTTTAAGTATTTGAATTGATAGTGTTTGAGCAGGAGAATGGTTTCATGAATACGCACCTGGATTCAAACCCCAGACATCTAATCACAATACAGACGCTCTAACTAACCCAGTCACTTGATCAGCAGTACTCACCTGCTCTGGCCTTATACTCCCATGATAGTTATATCCAAAACAAATCTAATTAAGAGGAAGTTGCTGTATACATGAAAAGCTTCAGTAGAACTCTCTACTGTTTTGCATTCAGTGGGACAAGGACCCTTAAGTACAACTGTAAACCAGGAACGTTTTGCCGCAGTTTACTTTCGCCTTTTTGGCCCTCCTATCAAGGGCAAATTTATCATTATAGCAAAGATAGGTAAACAACATACTATTCATAGTAGTTTTATGTGAAGGACGAAATTTACACTAGGTGAATGTTGAATTATGGGAGAATGGTTAAAAGCTCAAAGTATATAGCAGCTCAGAAATCAGCAATAAGTGTCAAACAGAACACTTTTGGGTTTTGTATGATGATTGATTTTCCGTGTGAACTTCTCAACCTGTGATAATTTCAATTTTAAACAAATGTACAATCTAATCAATATGTCATAATGGGTGTCAAATTAGACCGGTTTATTGTGTCTGAATGTGTCTGAAATGTTTGACACCACGCATCATGCATCTTACAAGCAGCCAGAAAAATGTTGTGTCAATTCAAATAAACAAAGCAGTCATGTTACTAATTGCCTCGTAAAGTAGGTCAAATTTCATCAAGGGCTGTGATACCAGGTATAGAGATAATGATCCTCTTTAGATCCCAAAATGAGCAAGTTAGTCTCCATATGAATGAACACTATGTATTAGACTAATGATAGTTTTAAACAGCTAGCTTACCTGGGATGAGGTGTAGCTTGACAAATTTCAAATTAAGTTTGTTATATAGCATTACAAGTGATCATCTTTGCAAAAATGAGGTAGTGCTCCTCCTCCAGGCAGAGGTGTGCTTCCCCAGGGGCGAGGGGGGAGGGGGGACTTAATAGGGGAAATTGGTTGGTTGTATAGGGTTTAACGTCCTACCAACATGCAGCTATAGTCATTTAAGGACATGCCTCCATGTGTTGTATATGTGTGTTAGTGTGCTGGAGGCCTATGGAGGTGTATTTGCCTCCTTGTGGTAGTGCGAACCTGATGCCGATTTTATAGTGCTACCTCACTGAAATACCATGCCAAAGGCACCCAGCATAGCATTCCGCCCGGTCACACTATACTGACAAGGGTTGGAGCAGTTTGAATAGAGGAAAATGGGGGTAACTGTTTAAAAGATTATTTCTTGACTATATGACAGGAAAAGTTTCAATTGAATTGAGCACAAATCATTCTTGGAGGGGGGAAAGGGTAGTACTTAAATTGTGTACCTGTTGGGTTGAGTAAGGTAAAAATGAGATATAACTGACCACAATGGACATTGGCGTAAGTCATCTCATTATCAACTACATAATCTTTCCATCAGGCCATGACAGATAATTTTTGGTCACAGTGATCTTACCAATTTTACGAGCTTAATTTGACTAAACATACCTAGCAGCCCTAAAGTAGGTGTACTTTTTGACCGTCTGAGTTTAATTACAGCTTAAGTATTCTGTCTGAGAATTATTTTCATGCTTTGTGGTCATTGTGGCCAGAGGGGCATTAGTCTTTTCATTTTATGTCCGTCAGAATGACATCTTGATTAGACTTTGTATTGAGCGCCATTTCTGTAATATATGTACAAGAAATTCAACAGCCCTCAAACTCATCTTACGCATGTTGTATACCTGTGTATCAAATATAGGTCACTGTGACCTATGTTCGGAGACTTCACTGATTTCTGCTTTGACTTTGAGTTTATCCCCATTTTCATCAAAATCTGGAGCATACGACTGTTTTATAAACAATCTCTATATCATTTATTTATGACAGAACCAACAGAGTTACCTAGAATTTAAATATACAGAAACAGAAATAGCTGTGATATATATCAGAATGTATAATTACTCTTCATATATGACTACATAATAAGTATACTATAAAACTCGTTGTAGTTTAGATATATGACTTAAGACATTCATTGTCTGTCGGTCCTGTTTAAATCTTGTTGATATTCCCTCCATACAGCTCGGTAAGCCCACAATGTATGTCATTCCGGTGTACATTGAAATTGAGTGGAAGTACGTAAGTCTTTAATCGCTGTTTAACAATATCATCAATTATAATGGAAATTCAATGGTGTTTAAACCCACAGCACATGTAAACATTGGTTTCCTTGGAACGTAATATTGATGTGTGATTGATTACATTATTATGTATACAGACTAACGGTGAAAAGTATACACGAGAATCGGGGGTCCAATAAGGTTTATATGTGTATATACTTATAAGATATTATTAGATCGCAGATATAAACTGGTATGATAACGCTTTATGGAATATGTCACGTTCCAGTTGGCATTTATATTGATTATGAATGCCAACTGAAAGCTGTTTAATACTTACATTTACAATTTTTAAAAAACTATTCATAAATTATACAATAAAGTGTATTCATCAAATTCAGCATAATGATCAAGTAAGTGTATGCTTTATTGTTTAATGGATGGAACAGCCATCGTCAGGGGAGGGTCAGAGGTAACCAATGTTACCATTATGATGTCATAATAATGATGATGTCAGCATGTGATCCATGGCATTCACACTGGATATGAATGCCATCCAAACTTAGATGGTTTCATAGTGGCAATGTCAATGCGAATAGAAATCAGAAATGTTGGTTTTTGTTTTAAGAATGTGATCTCAATCTGCTTAACTTGAATTTGCTTTTGTTGTGAATTCATATAGACTGTTGGGGGATTATGCAACAAACCATGTTATATAGCTCATAGTCGAAAAATAACAAGCTGAGAAATTGATAAAATATTTCAGTAATTTGTACCTGCGAGTCAACCGGGGAAATTTCACACCATTATTTCAGATTTCAAAATAATTTGCTTTTAAATTGCTAAGAGAGTCTGGTGACATTTAAGTAAATATTGTATCCCTGTGTTGCAAATTACCTCTTCATCACTTCTCCAGCATTCAATAAATCTCAGCTGGGAATTCAAAGCTGTAGGAGACCAAATAATGAAGTACAGATTGAATGACAGTAGTGTGTACTGGTTCGTGCCTCACAGCTGCATCCTTGCTATGTATGGCAATTAAAGGTTGGAAATTATGACCATCTCAAATCTAGAAAAAAAAGGTCTCTAGAATATGCACTTGCCCTGGCTTTGTGACTTTAATAGAAATGAAGCTTAGAAGCACAGCCAATATAGCGAGTTTAAGAATCCCTGTACCACGCTGTTCGAGAACTGCAACTAAATTGAGTTGGAAACATTTTTATTGAATCATTTCTAAAGCCATACCTTATAGAACTTTAATGAAAATATAATAAAGGTGTAAACAAATGAAAATATAAACACATCAACTTGTTCTGATAATGAGAAAAAATTATCTAATCAGGCCAAATCATTTAGGTTTGAAAAAATTACTGCCATGGAAATCGATATTGTTTTGTCTGCTCTGGGATGTGAAACCTTAAAACACAAAGCCTAACAAGTCAGTGAGTTGGAAACCATTCTGTGCCAAATGATTTTTTTTTATACCATATAAGGCATTAAAGTGTTATGCAGGCATGAAGTGCAATGTGACCAGACATTTGATCAAATGCACGAACAAACTTGTCAAAATATCTGTAAAGTATTGCATCCGATACTGCAGTTACGTTTCACCCTCCATAATGAGGGCGAAATTATCATTACAGTGAATATAAAGAAACAACATAATATCCTTAGTAATTAAATGTGCTGGGCGAAATTAACACTGGGTGGAAATTTATTTTAGGGGCAAAGGGTAAAAGTTTGACTTGACAAAAGTTTCCTGGTATACAGTACCGGTTTGACAATGGAAAATCTCCTTTTAAATTCATTCTGTGCCTGTGTTATTATTAGATTGTTGCATGTAACGTATAGATATAATTTTCACCAAAACTTGCTTGTTTATTAAAACATGTGCAATCAGCTAAAAGAACAGCATGTCTGACTGGTATTGACGGCGTTTAGTGATCTCCCAAGCTAGATTTGTGAAGTCGTAATATTAATATAGTTGAAGTCACATTACAGCCAAATGCCGTACAGTTCTGTGTTATAGTAAAATGTGTGTTGATTCGTTACAGACTGGGTCAGCTGGAAACACGGGTGTACGTGGACAACGGAGAGTTACCTGCTATAGTCAAAGACCTCAAAATAAAAGTGGAACAATTCAAGGAAAAGCTGGAGGTATAATTGATGCAGTTACCATCAATGTTGTCTGTCTTAAAGTTATAACTCGCCGCAATCTGTCGGAAAAAACTGCGGTTAAAATTGCAGTCATACCTGATATCCATAAATTCTATAAGTATATTGAGTTGAAAAGAGTTAAAATTTCAATGACACATATTTATGTCAAGTATCAGTGTGCGAAGCCTTTTCCTGATGGTTACTTTTCTCACCTGAGAGGCAATTCAAGGTTGAGGTCTGAATGTTTGCGTCATTATTATTCATACGTGACAAAAACATCGCCATCACATTGTACGTGTCTGTGCATGCTTAACATTATGTAAAGTATCAAATTCTTTATGGCACGCAAGAAAATAAAATAAAATTCCTTTTTATTTGATATTTTTGATGCCTTTTATTTCCGGAGTGTGGTAGAAACGGAAAGTTAATGACTTCTGCTATGTAAGAAAAATAAGAAATGACAGATTTATCTTTTTGATCAGAAAAAAGAGCTAAGGTTAATGATACGGTAAATTTTAATTAAACATCTAGAAAAATGGAAACATAATTACCTAAAATTTGTAAAAAGATATTGAACAAATTGAAGCTTGACTGTTAGTTTGCATCGCAACCTATCATGCCAAAATTGAATATACCTTTTTAATGGAGAAATTCAGTCTGGGTTGTCTGATGATCCGAATGTGAAATTGATTTATGTAAGAAAATTCAGTGGCAGATCCAGAGACCTATCTGGGGGTAGTGGGGTTCCACATGTCCATGGGGGTTTCCATTGGGGGGGGGGGGGGAAATTGGGGAAAAAGGGGAAAAAAAGTTTTTTTAAAAAAATTTCCGGGGGGGGGGGGGGGGGGGCCCCCCGTGGGGGGGGGGTTTTTGGGGGGGGGGGGGGGGAAATTGGGGAAAAAGGGGAAAAAAAGTTTTTTTAAAAAAATTTCCGGGGGGGGGGGGGGGGGCCCCCCGTGGGGGGGGGGTTTTTGGGGGGGGGGGGGGGGGCCCCCCGTGGGGGGGGGGTTTTTGGGGGGGGGGGGGGGGGAAATTGAGGAAAACAGTGAAAAACATGATTTTTAAGAAAATTCTCAGGATGGGGTGGGGGTGTTCTTGAAGTCCAAAGAAACCCTCTGGATCTGCCGCTGAAATTGACACAAAATGTATTTGAAATCTTCAATATTTATATTGAATAACAGATAAAAAAAATGTCAGGCCTCATCATATCACCAACCTCTTATTTTGTCCCAAACAATGAATCAGAATATGTATTATGGTATGGTATACCTCTGTAGAAATCTTCTACTTGATCATGTTTGTCACAGAGCATTGAGCCTAGAAATCATTTGGAAGATATGGTATTAAGTTAACTTTTTATTAAAGGAGAAATATATAAGGTAGTAGTATATAGATGATAAACTGTTTATCATTCAGTATTTTCAGGGTTTGTCGTTCGAACAATCTTCTCATCGCTGAGATGGCCTTTCAATTTTATCCACATGCTGCCGATGAGAAAATTCTTCTCACCATGCACAAACTTTTCACAATACAGTGATAATCTAAAATTATGATGTTGTGAACTTGAACAGGATACTGTAATCCTGTATCTTAAAACTCCTTATCCAAGCTTAGATTTTCAATTTGGTGTATTCTTCTAACAAGTATATATATTTTCTAAAAGATGATAGTGGAAACTTATTCCTAGCATTGTTTCTACTGGGACTTACGTAAAGCCTTTCTGGAGGAAATAGAAATATCCAGGCATCAAACTCGATCCTGTCAATGCCTGTGAATAACTGCCAACTGAAAGCAGTTCAATACTCATATTTACCAATTTTGGAACATGTTAATCTAATAGAGAATTAAATTAATTTATCAATATTCAGCATTTAGTTCAAATAGTGTATTTATCGTATGTGTTTGTTTAATGAATCAAACATCCAATATCTATCTAGGGAGGGTCAGAGGTACCCAACGTTACAATTATTATGTCATTATAATGGTGACATCAACAATCGGGTTATGGCATTCATGACTGATATGAATGCCATCTAAATGTGGTTGGGTTGTAGAGTAGCAATGCCTAATATATGATGGTAAATGTTGTACAGGGGCCTGTTTGGTTTGTCTTTTTGTAAATGTAACATTTTCGGGTATAAATCCTGGTGGACCTACAAATGTTTATGCAGGCCTCGTAAGGCTTTGTCAAAGGCTCGCCTGAAAGCAGCATCAGATTTCTAGGTCCAACATTATTTCATAAACAAAATACACTGGTCTAACTGTTCACACCTTTTGGCTTGCGATAAACGACAGCGGCCCTGATACCAAACTTTTGTTTATTGTCATTCTAGAGTGTGGATCACTTGAGCTGGCTGGGACTTACGAAAGATATATCCTGTGGAACATCGTTAAAACCGTTCTGGGACAAGAGCCAATCCCATCGCAAGACCGAACAACACTCCAGATTAGTCTTCGAAAAATTCAGGAAAATGAGGTAATTACACGTACATTTACAATTACTCCTTGTTACCTGTCCACTCACGTCTAAAAGTTCTAAGTTAAAGTCGTATGACGTACATGATGATATCAGGTAAATAATCTCCACTATAGTAGGCCTAACTTTCAGGTCTCTTCGACGTCACCGTGTGAATTGATTTATACAGCGATTGGGAAAATATATCGACAAATTGAATTGTAATTAGTACTCTGAGATTTGAAATGCTGTTTCAATCTTGGCAGTTGGGATGTGCCAAAACAACATGGGAAATATCAAGACGTTCACCAGAAGTGTGTACTGCAGAGTCAAGGTGGCGTGATACATTCACCAGCAGGAATTCACAGTGTCATATAAATGCGAATTGAACCGGCAATGATGCAAGTTAAGAGTTTCGAAATTAAATATATGACACAAAACAATCAAACACATATCAATATTTTCTTTTGAAACAAAGAAAAGCTGTGGTCACAAGTGCTTGGTGTTTATTCCCAAATTCAGCTGTTGGCGGTTCTCATCGGTATCTGTTTGAGTGACTGCATGCATTAAGGCATACACACTCTTCTGATATCACTGTCAGATTCAGTCAGATTTGCAGATGCTCAGAAAACAACATGTGAATTTCATAAAAAGGTGGAAGCTTTATCTGTAAATAAAATTGAATCCTTTCTGAAAGTTATCGCTGCAAAAACTACATCGTAATATTCCATTACCTGTTCTGCCGATTCCAGGTGTCAACAGATCTTGTACTTGAAGTGTCAGTCAACACCTAGGCTAATTTACGATTCTGTTATCTGTTTTCCCAACACAATTTAATACCTTGTGAATGTGTTTATTAACTTTATCTTCATTGGTGATCTACCTGGTTGGTGCTTCAGTACTACTCCAGCTTGATAGGTTTTTTCGGAAAGAAAAATTTAAATGTTTAAAAAAAATAAACATTTTCTTATCTTCCGAAAACAATTCACCCAAAAAGAACCTGAACATTATACACCAGAGTGCACAATAAACAAACATTTACCGTATTTGCTTTATTCAGATTAAAATGATTGGTCTTACCTGCTTTTACAAGTGGTTAATAACATGCATGGTACAGAGTGACAAATAACCAGTTGCAGGTTTATCCTCAATTGACCTGTATCATGGCAGTGGTGCGCTGTCACAAAGACCATGTGTGGCATTTAATTAAAGACCTAAGGGTCGGTCAGAATGTTGTTCCATGCCTGCATCAATGCTACCGGGAGTTTTTGTAAACAATACCAGGCAGACTTTGCTTGTTTCAGTTTCCCAAGGACACCCAAAACATGTTCTTGCTGACAGATCTAGAGATTTTGCAGCTGGTGCTAATGTACAGTGCCAGACAATGGATCGTCATAACAGAGCTACTGAAACATTGACAGTCAACTGACCAACTTGGAACAGTCCATTAGATCTCTTTCTGACCAGCTTGGAACAGTCCATTAGCTCTCTTTCTGACCGGCTTGGAACAGTCCCTTAGCTATCTTTCTGACCATTTTGGAATAGGCCTTTAGCTCTCTTTCTGACCGGCTTGGAACAGTCCGTTAGCTATCTTTCTGACCAGCTTGGAACGGTCCATTAGCTCTCTTTCTGACCGGCTTGGAACAGTCCATTAGCGATCTTTCTGACCATTTTGGAATAGGCCTTTAGCTCTCTTTCTGACCGGCTTGGAACAGTCCCTTAGCTATCTTTCTGACCAACTTGGAACAGTTCATTAGCTCTCTTTCTGACCGGCTTGGAACAGTCCATTAGCTATCTTTCTGACCATTTTGGAATAGTCCTTTAGCTCTCTTTCTGACCGACTTGGAACGGTCCATTAGCTCACTTTCTGACAAATTTGGAACAGTCCATTAGCTCTCTTTTTGACCAACTTGGAACAGTCCATTAGCTCTCTCTCTGATCAACTTGGAACAGTCCATTAGCTATCTTTCTGACCATTTTGGTACAGTCCTTTAGCTCTCTTTTTGTCCAACTTGGAACAGTCCATTAGCTATCTTTCTGACCAGCTTAGAACAGTCCATTAGCTCTCTTTCTGTCCAACTTGGAACAGTCCATTAGCTCTTTTTCTGACCAGCTTAGAACAGTCCATTAGCTCTCTTTTTGTCCAACTTGGAACAGTCCATTAGCTCTTTTTCTGACCAGCTTAGAACAGTCCATTAGCTCTCTTTCTGTCCAACTTGGAACAGTCCATTAGCTCTTTTTCTGACCAGCTTAGAACAGTCCATTAGCTCTCTTTCTGACCAACTTGGAACAGTCCATTAGCTCTCTCTGACCAACTTGGAACAGTCCATTAGCTCTCTTTTTGACCAGCTTAGAACAGTTCATTAGCTCTCTTTCCGACCAGCTTGGAAAGGTCCATTAGCTCTCTTTCTGACCGACTTGGAACAGTCAATTAACTCTCATTCCGTCCAACATGGAATGGTCCATTAGCTCTCTTTCTGACCGACTTTTAGCGGACCATTAGCTCTCTTCCTGACCGACTTGGGACAGTCCATTAGCTCTCTTTCTGTCCAACTTGGAACAGTCCATTAGCTCTTTTTCTGTCCTCTTTCGACAGTCTCAGCTTTGTTTAACTTAAGATTTTGTAACCAAACCCTTGTGATGTTCTAGTGAGGGACTACTTCAACTAAATACTGATTGATTTAACTTGATCTAGTAACACATTCAGTGGGGCAAAAACCTTGGCAGTTACACATGACTGAATTCAATAATAGGACAGATTTCATCAAAACTGGCCCCATTCTTCTTCACCAACTAAAATGTCACCTGACAAACAATGATTTACTGGTTTTCAAAAAGGAGACTTTAACATTTGCCATTCCTTTGTTGAGTATATATATATGATACAGTAATCAAATGTACACTTAGTCTTAATTGTTAATGTTACTCACACTCAGTGAGTTTGGTGACGTCAAACCATATTATTATCTCAATATTTAAATTATGAGGTACTAATTACTGACGCAGAAATATGAAACACCTGACCTTCTGTTTTCAAAATATAAAAATTAGGATCTACATTTTCTAGAATTACGTAGTAAGTGGAGATGGATATATAACTATTAATAATTTACATTTGAAAAGTAATTAGGAATCCAAAAGACTTTTTAATATTTAACATGGTGATAAACTGTGATATTTAGTTGTGCATTATGGTTTTAAAAAAGTCAAGGTCACTGTTGGATAACAAAGACCATGGGCAGTTGGCGAGATCCTAATGCTGGCCTGTCAGTGTTCTATTTGCATTGAAGTTGTACATATAATATATTTTCTTTAAACTTAACTGGGAGTACAATCAAGATTAAGCTCGGGCACTGAAATATAGCCATGTTAAGGCATATCTATACACATTTCTGTTTCAACTGGAATAGGGTATATCCGTCTATCTGTCTGCCTGAAGACACAATTTTGTCCTCGTAATTTCTTCAATTTTCAGCCAGATTTCATGAGGAACATTCACTGACGTAGTCAATATACTATGAAGTTGTAAACCTGTGATTAATATTTCAATCTGATCATGTTATGGGAGTTATCTCCCTTCTCTGATATCCTTTTATACATTTTGTCCAAAGTTGTACCGGCCCCTTCCCTTTTTGACTAATCGGTACTCTACATAGCTGTGTATACTTGCCAATTTATTTTTGATATTCAATATTTTGATAGGAATTATGCCCCTTTCTGATTTCCACTTATAATTACTTAGTTAAGTGTTAATTGTCAAAACTAAACCCTAAGCTGTATCCTTTAACTAAAATTGATGAAACAGTTCCGACAAAGAAGCAGAAGTGAAACTAAGGTGTAGCTTTTCAGGCGATGGCGGCGGCAACATTAAGTTTTTGCGTTTAACTTAGTTTCACTAAAAGTATAGTGCTAGACCAATTAAACTTAGACCATAGATGCATCTTAGGTAGTACATCTCAACTCATGCATCAAATGCTGGATGAGGCTTTCCTTTCATGGTCCATTGACTTTGTCAGCATCTCCATCAACATTAATTTTTTGAGTTAAAGTTAGCTTCTCTGATTTGTGCATTGATGGTCAAGTGGGGCACAGACGAGATATATCAATCTGAATGGCTTGTTCTTCAAAGGGGGCTGGGAGTATTTAGTTAGCCTCTGGCTTACAGTTCTAGTTTCTTTTAATTTTAATCAAATTAACTCGCTAATCTGTTATATGGATGTCTCAAATATATTGAGAGACATTAAACCAACCTGTGCAAACATGTCCGGTCATTTACTTGGGTGTTTTTTATCTACATTTTACATAGCAACAACAGGGTGCACCCTCATAATGGCTGCCTCATTACTCTTTGGCGTTGAACCTCGTAATGGAATTCTTGGTTACATTAATCTTGGGTTTAAGGAGGCATGGTAGTCTTATAAGTGGTAGGATGCCAGGCTCCTGACTGAAGGGTCGCGGGTTCAAGTCACATCATGGCATTGTGTTGTATCTTTGAACAAGATACTTTACTCCGCTTGTTCCAGTCTACTCAGCTGTAAATGAGTGCATGGTTGGACAGTGCTTGAATTGTTGAATGCTAGCTGTGAGCGCCTTAATGGCAGCACCGGCTGTAGTATGCTCCCCAGAGAGTTGAGAAAGATTTTGGCTGGTTGCAAAGACCCAATAACCATGGATAACCATTTGTGAACCTCTTCGAGACGACCTATGACCTAGGTCGTGATAAAGCTGTATATAAGAACCTCAAATTATTATAACTTGTATTATTATTAGATGGATAAGTGCACAATTGTATTTATTACTTATTAAATATGGTGGGTGGGAGACCCAACACCCATACAAAGAGTTCAGTGGAGTTCTGTGATGCCCAGCAGTTCAGTGGAGTTCTGTGATGCCCATCAGTTCAGTGGAGTTCTGTGATGCCCATCAGTTCAGTGGAGTTCTGTGATGCCCAGCAGTTCAGTGGAGTTCTGTGATGCCGAGCAGTTCAGTGGAGTTCTGTGATGCCGAGCAGTTCAGTGGAG